ATACATGTGCATGTACATGTACATGTACATGTACATCTACATTTACATTTACATATACATATACATATACATATACATATACATATACATATACATATACATATACATATACATATACACAAACATATACATATACATATACATATACATATACATATACATATACATATACATACACATGTACATATACATACACATACACATACCCATACACATACACATATACATATACATATACATATACATGTACATATACATATACATATACATATACATATACATATACATATACATATACATATACATATACATATACATATACATATACATATACATATACATATGCATATACATGCACATACACATATACATATACAAATACAAATACATATACACATACATATACATATACATATACATGTACATATACATACACATACACATACACATATACATATGCACATGCATAAACATATCCATGTACATATGTACATATATATACACATAGACAGTGGCCAAATATGACGACAATGGTGTCGTGGGCTGTGGGCGGATCCGACGATGATGCGATGGTGGTGGCGACGTCATTGCCTCCTGCGAAGCCGAGCCCCGCCGCCAAAGCGATCGAGACAAAGGAGGCCCGCGCTGGCGGGGCCAGGCGCGCGCGCGCGGGCTGGCGACGGCGACGAGGCACACGCCTGCGTCAAGGCCAGCGACGCCTTGGCACGCGCTACCTCCGCGCGCCGCGCGACGGCCCCGCGCGCGCGCGCGCCTCTGGGCGCCCTGGCCGGCCCAGCCGCCGCCGCGGAAGCTCGGCCGCCGCCCCTGGAACGCCCCGCTCAGGCGCCGACGTCGCCCCTCTGGCTGCCCGCGATAATGGCCCGAGCGCGGGCGCGGACGCGTTGGAAGACGACGTCGGCCCCTTGTCGGAGGGCACCGTGGCAGCGGTCGCCAGGATGAGCAGACCCTGCGCGCGTTGGCCGCATGGGCAGCCGACTGCGAGCGGGATCTGCCCGCGCCCCCGCGGGCCGCTCCCCTCGCCCTCTCCGGCGATGACGTCGCCCAGTCCACTCGAAGCGCCATGCGTGACGGGCGGGGGGGGGTGGGCTGCCGGGCTGCCCGCGAAGCCGAAGCCATTCTGCATGACAACCATGCGCTCTTCGCGCGAGCCCTCTGGGCCGCGCGGCGCGCTGGCGTCGCGCGCGCGTCGCTGATACTTGGCCCGGCCAAGGCCGCGGGGGACTTCCGACCGACCAGCGGCTCTTTGATAAGCCGTCATCACTGGTGCGCCCTCGATCTTCGATCATGTCTGTCGCAGGCGATCGCGACTGCGCGGCGCCGACGGCGGCTGGACTTGATGTCCTCGCAGGAGGCCAACCGCTTCTGCTGCCTATCCGGCCGGGCGATCTATTTGTGAAGAGATGCGTGGTGGGCTTGGTCCTGGGCCCTTATTTGGGAGCAAGTCGCGGCTTTCCTCTTCGGCGGGGCCCCGCTGCGCGCGCAGCGTGGCCCCTCGCGGGTTCGCCGTGACTTCGCGCGGTGGCCGGCGCAGCCGACGCGCGAGCGCGGCGCGCGATGGGCGGCGTCGCCCGCGCGGGCCAACTGCCGGGGGGCGTGGGCGCCAAGGCCAAGTCGGATCGCCCCGTCGCTGCCGGCGAGCGCATCGGAGGAACAGACGTCCAGGCGCCCGCCCAATGCCTGCGCGGGCGCGGTGTGCATCCGGGCCTTCGGCGCTGCTGCCGGGTCGCGGGGCCATGCCCAGGCTTCTGTCTGGTCCATGATGGCCGCGCGCGTCCCTGGCCGCGCCGTCGCACTGACCGCCCACGACGGCGAGTCCGCCCGGGCACTCCCCTGGGCGCCGTGGCCGCCACCCCGCGGGGCGCTGCCCGGGCTCGGCCGCGCGGGGCGTGGCGTCCATCGGCTCGACTGGCTCTGGCATGGCTGTCTACCGAGTTCCTGCAGGACGGCTGGGGCGCCGCGCTGGGGCCCCCGCCGCCGCGATCCCGCGGTCCGCGGGGGCCGGTATTTTTTCGCGGTGTTCGGTGTCCTGGCGGGCCCAGGGCCCCCCCCCGCCGACGCGGCCCCGCGGCGCCCCGCTGCCGCGATCCCGCGGCCTGCGGGAGCGTATTGTTTTTGCGTTCGGGGCTCTGCCGAGACGCCCGACGCCCCGCCCGGCGCCCCCCGCGCCCCCGCTGCCGAGACGCCCCCGCCGACGGCGCCCCGCCCGGCTCCCCCCCCGCCCCCTCTGCCGAGATCCCGCGGTTTACGGGTGCTTGCGCTGTGGCGGTGTTTGAATGTTTGCTGGGCTCAGGGCCCCGCCCGCCGACGCACTCCCGGCCCCTTCCGCTGATCCTGCCCTGCGATGTGTATGAAAATGTGATTTGATGGTGTTCGGCGTAGCTCTGCTAAATCCCGCCACTTCCCCCGCTAGCGCGCGCGCCCCGCTGCCCCGATCTCGCGGTCTGCGGCGGCTTGCGTTTCGGCTTTGGATTTTGGTCAGTCCCGGTCCCCCCCCCCAGCTCGGGGCCCGCCCTGGGCCCCCTCGCCCCGATCCCGAGGTCTGCGGTGGTTTGTGTTTTGGCGGCGTTCGGAGGTTTGCTGGCGGGGGCGACGGCGGCGGCGGCGGCGGCGACGACGGTGGCCGCGAGGGCGACGGCGGCGCGGGCGACGAATTATGGACGGGGGGATCGGCGTGGACCTAAGGGGGCTTCGTAGGGTGAGGGGCAGAGGTGGTGGCCGCGGCAGAGGCACTGGGAAGTAGACCGTCTGGGGGAGTGCGGTAATGGGCGGTAGTGGACGCTGATCGATGGTCATGCGGTGCCGAGGTGACGTCGTAGGGCTCCATGGCTTTGACGCGTAAGCTAGCCGTCGGCAGGATTCCGGAACGAGTTTTCGACTTCTTCCCACGGAGGAAGCGGGTTCTGACGGGAAACGTGCCCCGAGGTTTCTTGCCGTCTTCAGGCTCTCCGGGCTCTCCGCGGGCTCCGGGAGTGTCAGGAATTGGCTCCGGAGGAACAGCGCGTGCTGCTGGGAGGCCCCAGGGGCCAGGATCCGTTTCCCTCGGGGCCCGCTTCCCCCATGGAGGGCACGGGGCCGGTGCCCAAACGTGGCGTAGGCCGCACCAATCGGAGTGTGCCTGTGCCGCGCGAGCGAAGCTTGCATGCTCCCTCATCATCGAGCGGACTGCTTCGCGAGACCCGTTCTCAAAGGATGAGGTTTTTGACACACACAGGATTTCAAATGGCACTGACAACTAAGGTAGCCTTTTTCGCGTAGTCGTGACATCAACATATGCCGCACTCCCGTCAGACGCGACACGGCATCTTTCCAAAGTTTCGTATTGTTCGAGGAAGTTGCTCGACTGTGATTGTTGCGATGTGTGTCTGTCTATGGAGTGTGCGATATTTTTCATGTGAACTAGGACGCTTATCGTTGCTCGTTGCGCGCCGCCGGTCCTGGTGCGAGGGTGAGGGAGGACGAGAGGACTGGAGGATGGAGCCTCCCTCAAAGAGGATGTGGCGCTCTGAACGCTGGAGTCGTGCGCGCTCCACAAAAGGGAGCCCGCCCGTGCTCTTCAGGGCATGGCGTGGGGTCCGTGGCCTCAGACATGTGAAACGCAGGGCGGCCCACGCGATAGCCACCACTCAGTGTTCCTAGCGGCTGATAACCCTCTCAAGTCGTTTGCACTAATTATAGTGTTCGTGGTGTCGTGTTTGGGTCGCTGCCCAGATGTGGTCCCGCCCGGCGTCGGGGTCGCCGTAGTGCCTGTCCAGGCTGTGTTAGGGTTTCCCGATGTCATCGTCCCATCTTCGTGATTGCTCTTTTTGTCTCCTGCGTCTTTCTTGTCGAGTGTTCCGATTTGGACTCCAGTTTATCACTTTGTGTCCAGCGTGTCAGGGGTTGGTGAACCGCATGATGAACCACATGGTTCACCCATTGCCAAGCCTTTCTGGTGTTAATATGTAACACATCAGGTGTATGATGTCGAAGCATGAATGTTTCTGCAAACCGCGTATTCCTGCGGATGAAGTTGGATCAAAACTCGGCGCCTTCACTCTGCATGGTGCCTGGTTGCGCGCCTTTCTGGTCGTTGGCGGGGTCCCGCACTTTGGGTTGGTGAACTGGTGAGTTGCTGCAAAAACGGATTTGCTGGAGTCGTTGTGGGAAGTGTTGCTGGTGTCGTGGTTGTTGCTGTGGTCTGTTTCTGAATTCCTTTCGCTGCGTAGGCGTTGCTGCCGCGCGTCTGCGTGGCGTTCCAATGATCATTCTGACCATCCGTTTTTGTTTTCGGCGTAGGGGGTGTCTGAGAGGTTCTGTCAGAGTCCACGTTGCTCTTCCGTATGTCATAGTAGGTATGGCAGTGTTTCTGTATAGCCGTAGTCGGTGTTTCAGTGGGTAGTGTTTACTGGAAAGTTTTTGTATGCGTTCGCTGAAACCATGCTTTTCGTATCCGGTGCTTGTCGGTCCCAGGGGCCTCGTGGAAGGTGATGGTCTGTCTGAAGCACGTGGTGGTGCTGGAGGGTGGTATTATATCGATGTCTATTCCTGCAAAGTTGGCCATCCGGTCGGGGTGCCGAGGCTGGTTGGTCGGGGTGCAGTTCTAGTCTGTTCTGCTGCTCTGCGGTGATCGGGTCAGAGATCATTGCTTTTAAGTTCGGCCCTTGTCGGCTTGTCAGCAATAGGTCGTCCGCGAAACGTAGATTCGTGTGTGTCGCTACGTCTGTGTGATCTAGCCGGACGCCTTGGTGCCGTATTTGTTATTCTGAGAATAATGGTGCCAGGACATGATGGAGTAGCGCGTTGAAGAGCAAAGGGCTCAGTGGATCACCCTCCTTCGTGCCGCGTCGGAGGTCGAAGGGTTTGCTGTCGGCGTCGGTGCGGACGACGGCTGTCTGGTGTTGGTACATGCGCTGGAGAAGGATGTGGCGGAGGAAGGGGAGGGGGTGGCTTAGCTCGACAATGTACCAGTACGTATTATTCTGTTGTGCGAGCCCCCCCAG